CTCCTCCTCGTGTCGTCGTCGTCTCCTCCTCGTCGTCGTCGTCGTACGTATATATATATATATATATATATATATATATACGTGTGTATGTGTGCGGATATGTATACGCTTTCTAACATAATTGTTAGCACCAGATTTTCAACTGTGAGACACGCGCAAGGATTTAGACCTGTCCACTAGTAGAAGTCATGATAATTGACTGTTATTAGAGACTCAGGGACTTTGAGCATCTCCCAATTGGAATCAATTGTCCTTGGTTGCCCAAATTGCATCTGTCAGCATACCATCCCCGTCGGCGCATACATTTACACCTTCCCGTGTACCTCTTCTGACTATTACTTTCACCAGCCTTTTTACCTACCAAACGATATCCTTAACATCAGTTAACCTGTCAAGCTGCCGGCATATCATGCTTTCACAGCACAGATTGTCCCATGGCTTGCCACTCCTATGAGTGTGTCTGCCTGGCAATCTCATAGCTCTTTACATTCCCGATGTTGTGAATGGCACGCCAGTCCTGTGCCCTTTAATAAGACATGCATGCTCCAGAGGAATGAGAAGACTCTGGTAATCTGCCATCTTGCGTCCTAAATCCCAACGAATGAATCATAGTGAGACCTGAAAGTACCTCGAAACATAGCCGCCTAAATAAGTGAAACACTAATAAAAGGTAAATAACTCAAACAAGAAGGCTTCAAGTTTTTAAAATAAAATAAAAATACCGTGAGGATTCGACACAATATGCAATATTTTTATTTTATAAAAAAGAACAATTTACGCGGGCTCGTAAATATTCTTTTGGACAAACATATGAACGTGTTGAATTTAGGAGGCTACTATGAACGGCACAGAGTCTAGAGCGATATAAATATATTCATTCCATCAGTTTGCGTAGGTTCTTCACAACGACACCTGTACACATACGTGTATGGTCACCCTACAGATAAGTGATATCAGGTACCGCAATATATGGAAGATGGGCTTAGCGATCTCAATGATAGCACCTCCTTCCTAGATACCGCCTCTAGCCACACGTGCAGTGAATTAGAGCACAGTTGCATTCCACGGAAACACACACACACACACACACACACATATATATATATATATATATATATTTATATATATTCGATTAGCAGCGAGTATAGTCGAGCATGAATGTAGGCAAAGTGGATAGTTAGAAATTTAATATCCAGTTTGGTTATGATTGACGAGCATCTACCACCTGTAAGTCGACAAATAGGGCGTCCATATAGCGAAAGCAGGTGACACGTTACCAGTAAAAGATCCGTCTGTAGGTATGATTGCCTGTATATTGACGAGTTAAAACGGGATACCTAATAACTCATACATGGGCACATATACAGTAGGTGGTGTATTCTGGTTATATATATCACTTGTGTCTGCGACCAAACTTGTATTTGTCGTACTCAGTTGGCACCAGGCCACATAACCGTAGATATCTCGGCGCATATAGTGATGATCTAGTATCCATCTGTTCCATACATATATCAACATAGGGCTCTAAGGTAATCTGAATCGCTCTATAAGTCCATTACACTACTATGTACGTGGGCATGAACACAGTACATACGGGATATGGTGCGATAAGGATGCGTTTCCAGTTTGAGCTGTCACAGTGCCTAGTAAAGCTCCCCATGTGCGTGCATCGCCGCGTTCTAGGTTCACTAGGAAGTTACAGACGCAGCTCACACGCAAGTTGCAGAAAGTTACATCGTTCCCATAAGGTATCAGGTGGGATGTATAATGGATCAGCTGCGTGCAGACATGCGGTCAGTACACATACAGTATTGCCAAATGCGATGGGCAGCTCACGCATGTTTGGCGTGCTGAGAGAGACACACACACATACACCGTTACTTCAGCCTAGGAGTAGAGGGTCACGACAGACCCACACAACAATATTACCTATACATAGAATACATCACCGAATAGCTATTAGTTCGCTGCAATATCGGTTGTTCACAATAATACCAGAACGACCACAAATACATGCCAACCTAAGTCAAACATCTCTGCTTAGTTCAAGCAGTCGTTGCCATATTCATACGATACGAAACCAACCAACCATATCTGAGTGCCACAATCACAACAGTGTAGATTTACTAGAGAAAAGTGTAGCTACAGCGAGCAATGGGTTCATACACGGGGATGCACTTCAACAGGAGGCTCAAAGACTCTCCGCAGATATCACAGCACCCCACCTGGGCGCATTGCAGAATCGACACACACACGTGGCTACGCATCAAAGTGACATCATACGCCCTAGTCGGCGGAGGGTGAGGCTACCAGAGCTTTGGCGACAGGCCGAAGAATCACAGAACTACACGGACGTGTGTGCGCATGTGGATGAGCTGTTGCAGCGAGAGACACTGCTGTGCAAGGACGGTCTTCTGGCTATGCAGGTGTACAAGAACACTGGCGAGCCAGAGAAGTGCGAGAGAGTGCTGGAGTATCTCCGCAAACGTAATACCAAGCTAACCAGTCAACACTACAATGTGGTGATGGCGAGCCTCGGCGAGGCTGGGGACTATAACCGAGCAAACGAGTACTATAGGGAGATGGACAAGGCTGGTGTGGCTATCACGAGCAGGACGCATAACGCCATGATGACGGCGTATAAGCAAGGGGACCAGTGGAAAGATGGCCTTAAATTATTCAGAAGGCTGCAGAAGAAACAAGTCCCTCTGGACTACGATGCGTACATGTGTGCGCTAGCTCTGTGTTCCAAAGACGGGCAGTGGAGAGATGCCCTGAAGTGGTTGCAGGAGGCTCGGATCAGGGGTCTGTCGTGCAATACAGGTATGTATAACAACACACTGGCAGCATGCTCCAAAGCAGGTATCGCAAACCCTGCAGTGAAGCTATACTGGGAGATGGAGAATATGGGTATCGCACGCGATGTGAATACGTACAGTATAATTCTTGGTGCGTGTGCGAAGGACAAGAAAGGGAAAGGTAATACGGCTGTAAGTATACTGAAGAAGCTGCTCTCAAGCAATATCGTTCCTACCACCAAGATATATAACAAGACGATCTCTGCGTGCGCAGCCGACGGGCAATGGGCGAAGACTGTTGAGCTGCTGCAGGAGATGCACCTGCGGGGTGTGGCATGCGACACCTTCTCGTACAGTAAAGTTATCTCTGCTTGTGCGAAGGCCGGCAAAATGGACACAGCCTTACATCTATTGCGCGACATGGAGGCTAAGCATGTGGCTAGGGATAGCACCACATACAACGGAGTTATTCAGGCATATTCCAAGAACGGCGACTGGACGAGTGCGCTAAGCATGCTGCGTGAGATGCTTCGCCTGGATATCGCCGGTGAGACTGTCTCCTACAACCGGACGATCTCTGCGTGTGCCAAAGCTGGGCAACATATTCCGGCTCTGGATCTGCTGCGGACTATGCGGGCTGGCGACGTGGCCATCGACAAGTACACGCTCAGTCAAGTGCTACTCGCATGTATGAAGTACGCGGAGTGGACGCATGCCCTGATTGTCTTGCGCGAGGCTCCGCAGATGGGCGTGGCGCGCGATACCGTTTTATACAACAACGCAATAACTGTATGTGCGAATGCCGGCGAGTGGGGAGAGGCTCTGAAGTTGTTACAGGAAATGTCAACGGAAGGCGTTGCCTGTGATACAGTCACCTACACCCAGGCCATTGCCGCGTGTGCCAAAGGCGACCAGTGTGACAAGGCCATACACTTGCTGCGGGAAATGGCCGACAGAGATATCGGATACAGCACCGAGGTGTACAATGCAGCCATCACCGCATGCCACGGGCGCGGACGATGGGGAGACGCACTCAAGCTACTGCGTGAGATGCAGAGCCAGGCGTTGGTATGCAACACAGCCACATACAACAGCGCGATCGCTGCGTGCAAGACGGACGGGGTGTGGGAGGAGGCTCGTTCCTTGTTGCGTGAGATGGGTGAAAAGAACGTCGCTTGTGACCTGCACACTTACCGGGGTGTAATCACCGCGTGTGTGACGGCCGGTGCATGGCAAGCGGCGCTAGCGTTGCTGGCGGAAATGCCGGAGAAAGGGATACAAACCGACACTTACACCTACACAAGCGCCATCAGCTCGTGTGTAGCAGACGGGCAGTGGGAAGTGGCCTTGGATCTATTTAATCGTATGGACATGGAGGGTATAGAGAAAAATTCGGCGGCGTACAATGCTGTGATTGAGGTTCTGGGCAAGCAAAGTAGCCTCGCAGGCAGAATCGATGTGTTGTACGATGAGATGGTCGTATTGTTGCCAGAGTATGTGACAAAATGGGACAATCTGTGGGAAAATGGACTGTTAGATTTGCACAACCACTCAGCGCATGTCGCGCAGGCTGCGGTGAGACGTCTGCTGCGACTGATGAGTGCGCAGCGGCAGCAGCACGCAGCGGGCGATAAAAGTGGACTAGTGCCGAGTGACTGTGGATCAAATAGCACGAATGTAGGTGTGACCAGATTGTGTGACCAGAGGAGTAGTGGGCCGGTATTGAATGGCAGTAGGCCAGGTGGACTAGTGTTGCGAGCCATTGTGGTAGGTAAAGGGAACAACAGCGTGGACGGTCGGGTGGTACTGCCTGCGGTCCAAGCCCTATTGGGGGATCTAAAACCGCCTATATCTTCTCGTTTGAGTGTTGAGAATGACGGGGAATTGTTTTTGGATGAGAGTGACCTGGACAAATGGTTGGAAGCTAGTCAACATTGTGGGGACGTGCGTAGTACAGACAAGCCTGAGCTTTTGGCCAGCACGGAGAGGAGCGATAGGTCAGGTGATGGGGCGAAAGTAAGTAATTCAGCGCTCACAGAATAGGCGGTGTACAGAGTGTGCTGGGAGGCAGTTGAGGATGGTTTAGCACTAAAGATGGGATTGGGACGGGCTAGTGGTGAAATAGAGAGATTCATGCAGCGATTTAAAATACTGTTTGGGCTGAATGAGGGAGAACCATGACACCGGTAAGGTTAAGCATGTTGAAGAAGTTGGATTGAGCCTTATATGTGCCCACGGATTTGTAATTACAGCATTGGGGTGTCCGAATGTAAGTGCTCTAGATTTCCACCGAATGAGCTTAGTACGAAGTGTTCTGTATGGCGGGTACTGACTTATACGTGAGAAGGTCGTACAATAAACTATAGGGATATAGTCTTTTAAGTCTAAAAAAAACGACATACGATAGTCGGTGGCCCAAATTTTGTATGTGTACATATATGCCAACATACATATGGGTGAGCCTCAACGGCCAAAGGTATAGCTGATGGGTATGGCGAGTATCAAAGAGTCTATTTGAATCTCGCTGCATGAGACATTGGATCGCGATGAGCAAACTGATAAATGTCTAGGCTCTTGATACGAGACAGCTGTGTGGATTAGAAACGCATGCAGGCTAGCGAGAGTGGCTAGAAGTGACAAGTGTATTTCTGGTCTGAGATTCCGTTGCGTATACATCCCATTTTTGTCTTGAAAAGTCTGTTCGGTGTGCATCGAACAAGCACTTTCAGGGAAAAGTCAGTGTTTGCAGATATATCGGTGCGGGTCGGCTTGTCAGCAGGTGCTGGTTTATCGTGGTGAACATTTCAAACAGTATTTCGCGATGTATTGGGTGAGACTCTTATACGCTAAAGTTTTGAGAGATAAGGTGCCAGTGTCAATGCAAGGCGAACGTCTGAAGTGGCAGATCGAAGTACTTATACTCGATAGAAACATTTGTCGCAACAGCACATCTGAGGGGTTTTGGTGCACCTTCATTGCTGATGATATCTGGGCCCTAGGCTTAAAAGTACAAGCCCCAAACGTACATTGTCCCAGTCGCGCTCTCAGTGGAGCCCAACCACATAAAATGGGTCTTCTTTTCTAGGCAATGATAACAGTATTCAGGTTAACGTCTGCCATCGCTACGAGCAGGTCGATAGTATATCTGGCACTGATCACCAGGATGGATGTGTATGAACTTAGAATACAGCAGAATGGCGACCACTAACACAGTCGACGAGGTTGAGTTCAAGGATGTGTGCTCCAGAGGCCAGTCGTTGCACCACCATGGAGACCACTGGTAAAATCGACGAGGTAGAGACGACAGTGGTACATCACCATGGAGACCACTGATTAAGTCGATGGGATAGAGGTTATGGTTATGTGATCCTCGAGACGACAGTGGTACATCAACATGGAGACCTTTGATAAAGTCGATGGTTTGGATGTGTGATCCCAGAGACCAGCCCGTGCACCACCATGGAGACCACTGGTGAAGTCACAATGTATAAAACACAAGGCCGCCTGATCGATAGTAATGTCTGCAGTTTCGCGCCGGCGATATTCTTAGGTGGTGAGATTTTGACCCGATGAATTTCACACTTTATCTGATTCTGTGTTTTCAGATCGTTTACATTAAAATATCTTAAGATCGCTCTCGTGATACGATGACGTTTGCGTTTAGTACACCTGCGTGGTACTGCGTTGGCGTTGTGCATGCGAGCATAGTTTGATAATGCTTTGTACTTCGTGCGAAGTTTGTCGATCTCGGAAGGCTGCAAATACAAGACCGCCAAATTGATTGTACGGTTTCCGATGGATCCGACCAGTTTCTACTAATCCCCTGCCCCAAGGACGCTAGGCACTGGTAAATGATGGGACCGCTATATAATTTCATCTCTAACTGGCCATGCAAAGAGTTCTATCGGTGTTGCCGACAGAGACTCGCAAACCGCCATGTTTCCGATTGTGGGAGAACCGATCTGCGTTGTCGCTGTGCTTGATATATTTGAATAGTGCCCTATCGTTATATAGGCGCACGATGTTTGATATCAACCTGTCGTTCTTGTTTGATCGACTGCTATGATGAAGAAATTCGTTCTTCGTTGGCCGAACCACGGGATATATAGATGCTTCAATACTCACAAAAGTTTCAATGGACCTACGCTATGACAATTATGAATATTGCAAATGAATGCTTTAGGCTAAGCCAGTAAGGAGGTTGTCGGTCACAGAAAGAGGGGATAGGCTGTATCCGATATGATGCCTTACATCCCTTTTGAAAATATAGTAAGTTTTTTGATATTTATATTTTCTTAATTTAAAAAAAACTAACAATCTCGCACGATTCCATTCTTTTGTCGCATTCCGAACGCCCGAGCGTTGAATATCTATAGTCTGAACCATACTATGATCTCGATCTACTATTGAGGCAATCTCTGTCGAGTGTAATCCATTAAAAACTATTCATATTTACAATAAATTCTAAAATATTAAAATTTGCCAATTTCAAGGTATGCAATTCTAGTTCCTGCTAGCTCAATCGCTGAACGAGAGCTGCCTTCTGCAACATCAATTTTCTCCGCATTGTTCCTATTTCTTAAGATTTGCCACTACTATCGTCTGCTGTCAAGCGCTTAGTACGCTTATAGCATCTATGTCAAAGCTAGAAGTTGACCCCATGTCAAAGCTAGAACACGCCGCACTGAATATCCGTCCCCACGCACTTGTGGTAGTGCCCTGCAACACACAGTGTCCGAGCGCACACACCCGCAACCACAGCCGACGGAACTCGGCATCGTACTCGAACGAGTTTTTATTGCTATTCCTGTGTGTGTGTAGTGCAGATTTTATTTTAGGGGTTTGGAGTTTTAGGATTCAGGATTTTAAGCATAGGGATTTAGGGTTGTTTTGTGGGTGTGTTGCACGGGTGTGAAATGGGCTGACGCCACACGCAGACCATGCAAAACACTGGCGATGGCGTGATACTTTGATGATGAGCGTCAAACTATATTTGCGAATGTTGTACGTTGAGAGAAAGGTATATGTGAACTAATGTAAGCAGACATAGGACTGCATCGCACAATAATGGAAATATGCATACAATATACCCGCAGAAGCAAAAATCAAAAAAACAGTAATTGTAAATATACAATACATATAATACCTATATTAATAGCAGTCAACTTGAATTTGAATTCTCATATCATACAAAATACAACAAAGCTTTACAAACCAATAGCAGTTATACTGCACCTGAAGCGAGATTCAGATACACTACATATCCTTTTTTTCACAGAGAATACCAAAACATTGCATATCGAAATACGAACTATCCTCTCATAATGCATGCGAAAGTAACTTACGATTCAGCGCAGATGGCTGCTGGCCCTTGCTGCAGCCGCGAGTACGTTCTGTTATTGACCAGCTGTAGATCAATTGCAATTGTCCTGAAGGCGTCTGAATTCCGTTGTCCAGGTCCCATTTCTTGTGACAATATAAATCTCATGCTCTCAATCACTTCCGCTGAGCTCAGGCATGCGCTCAGCACTAGCATACTGCAACAAAGAGACGGCATGATTCAGCACCATCCCTAGACCCCTGACCAGCATGCGGATACACAGAATAAATCTCATGAATACATCCTACAAACACCTCACGTACACACACCCTTCACACATACCGTGGAAGCTCCACCATTAACGTCGGGCTGAAGCATACAATGTCTTCCAAACTCAACACTTGGTCATCTGCAAGAGCCCTCAGCACACGCTTAGCCTCACTCGTCAGCAGCACTTCGGACAGGTTAGTCTTAGCTGTGTGTATGGACTCATACACTCGATACGCTGCACAGAATGCGCGTAGCACCGTCTGGTACTCACATTTGCAGGCGCTGCGTTTGCCGTCGCGGGCGGTTCCCTGTTAGTTGAGATGAGGTAGCGGATGGAATAAGCATGTAGATAAGATACGAGGATGAAGTGAAGTGCGATTTCGATGTCATCTGAATGTTGTATATGAGTAGAGAGGCGGGATTAGATGTGTTGTGTAAACGCTGTAGGACGCACAGATCGCTGGCAGCACTGTGATCCCTCGCATTTGAAAGTATGTTTAGATATGCTTTATCGCACGTAGCACAGGTTCGTTGAAACAGAAACTAATACTGTAGCCACTATATGTATGCCTAAGTGACTAAGGAGAAGATCCAGAAACCAGATAGTGTGCAGACACTACACGCAATAGATTGATGAGAGTGAGCACAAACACTCATATGAATATTTCGGCAGACGCATATATGGCTCTCGAGCTCATTCTCACGAGCGTAATAGGGCCAGCGATTGGACTAAACAGATGTCCAGTGAAAAAGTAGGTATATATATTCAATTCAACTGCAACAGCCAGCCTACGCTGCGCTCTAAGCACAGTCAATAGAGATGCAGTGTACAGGTGATATCTTGATATTCGTGTTGCAATGAAGTTTTAAACTGTAGATTATCGCAACACAGACGGTCCGCAAACTATCACCACCCCCCCCCCCCTCCCCCCAACTACCGGACGCTGACATGCGAAGGTGCGTATGCGGAAGATGAAGCTCCGAAGGTACTCTAGCAGATTCAGAAATACTCAACACAAGGTGCGCTTTGCACCTTCATGTACATTCACCACAGCTTACGATTAGCACATGCATATGAACACAACTTACATTCAGTGCGAACTGCGACAGCTCCTCGCGACAGTCATTGAACGCTGCAATGACTTTGTTTGCGGCTTTTTGTAGGTGGCGATCCCCGTGTTGCGCATTCATTTGTATGGCACTGAGTATGAGGGCCACTTGTATCTTGGAGGATCCGGGCTGTGGTATGATGAAGGGTGTGATGTTAGAATCACACATATTCATGTGTGTATTTGAAAGAATTTATACATAGAATGCTAGTACGGCGTAGGTTTATGTGCACTTGCACGTGAGAGCTGCGCCAGAGCTTATATTGCGGTGAAGGTGTGCTGTGGTAAATCTCGGTACAGCGTATACTGTACTCGTACCCATTGTGCATTCGAACGAGATGCTTTGGACCTTATATCCATCACAAGTATTCATAAATGTTAATCAATATATATGCATGCATGCTGCACTTGACCAGGCTACTGCGTAGATGTTTCCAATTCTCCCGCGAGATAGTATACTGCTAGTGCAACTTGGAAAAGATAGAACCCGCAACATCTATCTGATCTATTCTATACGTTTGTATATAACCAGGACGCAAGTATACATGCTATATGCAGCACACATAAACTCTATCTCCACCATAATTGATCATCAACTAGTTACACAGTACAGTTTGTTTCCGTATACAGGCATGGCTAATGCATCACACCGCAACGACTCACATTGGTGTCCAGTTTCACGCCGCAGGGGTACTGCTGGCATTGACCGATCACACTCAGCAGAGCTTCGACGGCTTGGCGCTGTAAATGAAAGGGGTGACCAACAATGAGCACAATCTAATATGCTTGGGAAGGAATACTCAAATTAAAGATGAAATATTCGCGTTTCTGCCCAACTGACAGTTCACGCACACGGGAAGGGTGAAATAGCTTTCTCGAACGGAGGGTGAGGTGAGTTGGTAGATAGGTAAACTCTGACTTAAGTTCAAGTATGTGACCCTCAACTTATTTGAGTCCCCGCTGTTGAGATGCACCAGGATAACTATATTACAACTCTGTTGCTAAACCCATTCTTCGATGCAGTGGTCTGAGCGGCGATTTCACTACGCGTACATATGTAGGATAAGATAGTTTTGAGAATTTTTACAGAAAGCTTCGAACGCATATGGAAACTAATGCATAGTTATACATCAAGTTAATATTGGAAAATGAGTCGGTAGCTCCAATTGATTGTTTCCTGTTTAACAAACGCATACGGTACGCGACACTACCATATCAAAAAGATGCACATTCAACGCTTTGAGTAAGTAACAGCGCACATACATACTTTTGTAAACTCTATACAAAATGCATATCCGTATTAAAGTCTAATAAAGACACTAGAATCTACCGATATATACAAGTTGTGCACCTGTAAAATTTCCATGTCATCCGTCTTTCCAGATTCCTCGGCACTAGCAAGAGCGTACTCTGACCAGAAAAACACTGCAACCGGATCCCATTGTTGCAGGATGGGGGCCGAGATCAGCACTTTTATGCTTCGTTTCCAACTCTATGGATCATAAAATACATGTTGCAGTATTCATCTCAGATACAATCCAATATGTTATAGACAGTCGTAGGCTCAATCTATCCATCAGTCCGTCTACATGTATATAAATAAATAAGTAAAGCTTATACATACAAACATATATATATATATATATATGAACATATATAATACAAATATACAT